AGGGGGATGGGGAGGGCCAGGGGCTGTGGGGACTCGGAGCAGGGGGCCCCCGTCACCCGCCGCCTCTCTCCCCCCAGGCCCGCCCCCCTGCCGCCGCCCGCCGGTGCCCAGCGGGAGGCCTGAGCCCCGGGCCGGGACCACTGCAGCGCTGGAGCCGCGGGGAAGGCCTCGCCGCCCGCTTGTCCCCCCCGCCGACGCCAATAAAGGGGCTGTGAGCTGTCTCCGCGCTGCCTCCGCCCCACCGGGGACCGGGGGGAGGGGGATCGGCACCAGCCGCACCGCAGAACTACAACTCCCGGCAGCCCGCGCGGCGCTCGCCGGAAGCGCGGCCTCTCCCCCGCAGGAAGCTGCTTCCTGCCCACGGCGCCCCCTGGCGGGGACGGTGCGCGCAGCCTCCCGGGGGGCGGGGGGGGCTCCCTCGGAGCCACGTGGGCACGTGCAGGGGCTGCCCGTGTGCGCGGGCACGTGTGTGTGCGCCCCGTGGGCACGGACACACACACACACACACACACCCCGTTACCTCCCACCCCAACGGGTCCCGTCCCGGGGGACCGGTCCCGGTGTCCGGTGGGTGCCGGTACCCGGCGGGGGAGGTGGGCGCGGGGAGCAGCCGGTGCTGCCGGTCCCGATGCCCGATGTACTGGGGCGATGCCGGTCCCGGTGTGACACCGGTGCTGGTTTGAGGAAGGGGCGAGTGGGCGCCGGTGCCGACCGGGTGCCGGAGGTGCCGAATCGGTGCGGGAGTGACGGTCCCGGGGCCGCCCCCGTGCCGGTGGGTGCCGGGTCGGTCTCGGTGCTGATGGGTGCTGTGCCGGTCCCCGTCTATGCCCGAAGGACTGGGATGGCGCCGGTACCGGTGCGAGAGGGGGCGGCTGGGTCCCTGTCCCGGTGCCGACGGGTGTCGGAGGCGCCGGTCCCGGTGCGGTCCCGGTGCTGGTGGGTACCGCGCTCCTCACAGGCGATGCCCGAGGGACCAGGGCGGTGCCGGTCCCGGTGCGAGGGGGGCGGGTAGGTGCCGGTCCCGGTGCCTACCAGCGTCGAAGGGATCGGTCCCGGTGCTGGTGGGTGCCGGTTACCGGTCCCGGTGATGGTGCCGGTGCCGCCCCCCAAGGGTTAATGGCACTCGGGGAAGTTGCCGGGCGGCGGCGGCGGCGCGGA